TATTCAGCTAATAGTTCTCTATTTTCTACATTCATCCACGTTTCGGTAAGTGCAATAATATCTATTTTTTCTGTGCAGACAAGAGCATTTAATTCGTTAATTTTATTTCTTAGACTTCTACTGTTAGTGTAATATACCCTAAGTGAATTGTTATTTTGCGGACCTTCTCTTTCCCTGATCGTTTTGCCAATTCCTTTCTCCCACAAACACATACTTTTATTACCTCCTTCCTCCAAATCAATTCCCATACCTCTAACTACTAACAGTTTAAACCCAAACAAACACCTCTAACCACTTCTTCTAGCGAGTTCGCAACAGCAACAACCCCAGCTCTCGATAGATGCACCCCATCACGAGCATACATTTCATTTCTTCCATAGAAGTGTTCCCAGTTGTCTATGAAAGATATTGCATTTGATTTGCAATATCTTTCCAGCCGGCAATTGACACCAAGTGCCCTCGATATCCATTCATTTCCCACTCCCTTTCTTGGAAGAATGCCACATATGATCGGGATTCCTCCCTTGCTCCTAACTAACTCTATGGCTGTTTTATACCTCTGAATCAGTTCCTCACTCCTGACTCGACCAACATCATTTCCTCCCACGCTAATGCAAATAATGGGATTGTTCCCATTACCAGCCATAATATCATTCATGTTGTTTATAATATCACCAATGCCAGCTCCGGGATAGCAAACCCTTAACCTGTTCCCCCTATCTCTAGGACACTCGGATTTATTATTTGAAGCGTTAGTAATAAGACACCTGGTGTGGTTCTTAACCTATATCTAGCTCTGGTTAGGCCCCATTTAGATTATGCAGTTCAGTTTTGGTCGCCGTATTATAGAATGGATATAAATTCACTTGAACGTATCCAGCGTAGGATGACTAAGTTAATTCCCCAAATTTGAAATCTTTCATACAAAAACATAAGAACATAAGAACAAAGGCAACTGCAGAAGGCCTATTGGCCCATACGAGGCAGCTCCTATCTGTAACCACCAAATCCCACTCATATACATGTCCAACCCGTGCTTGAAACAATCGAGGGACCCCACCTCCACCACGTTATGAAGTAATTGGTTCCAGAAATCAACAACCCTGTTACCGAACCAGTATTTACCCAAGTCTTTCCTAAATCTAAATTTATCCAATTTATACCCATTGTTTCATGTTCTGTCTTGTGTTGATACTTTTAATACCCTATTAATATTCCCTTTGTTGTGTTCATTCATCCACTTGCAAACCTCTATCATGTCTCCCCTAACTCTTCGCACTGCCAGTGAATGCAATTTAAGCTTTCTTCATATGAAAGATTTCTAATTTGGGGAATTAACTTAGTCATCCTACACTGGACACGTTCATAAGAACATAAGAACGAATATGAAGAAAGATTAACAAAGCTTAAATTGCATTCACTGGAAAGGCAAAGAGTTAGGGGTGACATGATAGAGGTTTACAAGTGGATGAATGGACATAACAGGGGGGATATTAATAGGGTATTAAAAATATCAACACAAGACAGAACACGAAACAATGGGTATAAATTGGATAAGTTTAGATTTAGGAAAGACTTGGGTAAATAATGGTTCAGTAACAGGGTTGTTGATTTGTGGAACCAATTGCCGCGTAACGTGGTGGAGGTGGGGTCCCTCGATTGTTTCAAGCATATTTGGACATGTACAGTGTATATGAGTGGGATTGGGTGGTTATAAATAGGAGCTGCCTCGTATGGGCCAATAGGCCTTCTGCAGTTGTCTTTGTTCTTATGTTCTTACGTTTATGTTCTTACAGACCCCATAGCAGCCAAAGTAAGTACAATTTCGAAATTCCGTTGCTATACCCATATACAGGGAGGGGTTTTTGACACTTTCAGAACTAAAAAGAATTTTTTCCCGAGAATTTATTTCTTGCGCACTTAGGGGGGGGGGGGGGTGTCATATTTATAGGCCGCGCAGTTAAAGGGTTAATCATTAATATGCACACCATAATTTTGAGTACAGTAATGGTTCACATATTTTATTACATAAATATATCACAATACACACTATTGAACAATATTACTGCAAAAAACAAAGAAAAAATCAATCAGAGACATTGAAATAATTAGGTAATAATATCCTTGTGGCAACTCCCGCCTGACAGCTGGGGCGGAACAGACCTCGTCTGGCGCTTGCTCTGTCAACACCTTTTTTCTGTAGAGAACCCCCTCGGCTCCCTGAAGCTATACCGGGCTGATGTGTATATATTAGACCGTGGCAACAGTCAATTGAAAGAGTCCTAAGCCTACCAGGGACCAGAGCCAGAACCTGCCCCCCTCAAGAGAGGCATGAGGAGCAATGGCCTAAAGACACCCGCATGTAATTGGAAGCAGTCTTGTCTGCCATCTGCCAGGTCAGGCATCCAGAAACGTAGGAATTTAAAAAAAAACTACTGCTGCTGGTCAAAAATTGTAACCCGAAAGCCGAACTAGCAAACAGAACTCCCCAATCAAAAACAAGGAAACAAACATGACGTCACCACAACCGCCACGCATCCGTCTGCGCAACCCCTTCCCCGGGAGGGGGACTGGGGGGGGGGGGGGGGGTTCCCAGACCTTCATGCCGGCAGCTCTTCTCAGTTCACAGGCTGTTGTGATGGCAAACGGTTAATTGCTCCAGCTCCACTCTTTGCATAGTGCTGCAGTGCGGTGTTGTTGCTCTGTTTTGGTGGTGTGTGAGCCAGAAGTAACACAAGAGTATCGGGGTTGCATGCACCTAGGGCTACCTTCCCTAGGTGCCCCATAAGTACTACCTTTGCAGCCTCGGGGTTATCTTCCATGAGCCGTTCAGGAGCAGCTACCTCCGTGTGGTTCTGTCGCTGCTCGGTGATTGCCCGCCCTTGGGGTTCAGCTGGGATGGTTCTTACTCCTGTTTGCCCTTGGATAGGAGGTAGTTTTGTCGCTGGCTGGGGCGCGAGGTACTGTGAAGCTGTCTGATATACGCATAGCAACCAGTACTGTTCACCTGGAGACGTTGTGTTTTTAGGTTTTTCTTTTGTTTTTTTTTTGTTTTGCCTGGTGGGGGTCTGCCTGGTGTGGCGGTAGGACCACTTGTAGGATTTTGGTGGCCTTCCACTAGGTTCCCATGCTTGCACACGTCGCAGTGGTCCAGCTTTTAGGTCTTTGCTTGGTAGCTCTGGGATAACCGGTTAGCAGTACCTCGCCTGGGCTTCCCTTAGCAGTCAGCCTAAGGGGCCCTGGAAACCCCGTTTGGGCTCAGTGGTCCACTGTAGAGGACCTCTGAGTCCCACCTCACCTTGTGCGAGTTTGAAGGTTGCTCTGTCCCCTTGTCTCAGGGGTCTCAGGGTGACACTCACCATCCGCCTCCGCCTTGCTGCCTGTTAGGGTCAGTGACACCTATGACCCAGAGTCCTGCGAGTGGTGTTCTTTGCTTGTACTCCATTCACCAAGAAAATGAAATGAAATCATTATATTCAACGCTGTTTTTTTTTGCCAGAACTCCCCGCCCTATTGCAGCCAAAATATGCCACCTGCGATTTTTTATATTTTTCCCATGATCAGGGAACACAAATGAACACTTTTATAAGATGAAAGAATTTATTTTTTTTTTTTTTTGCGCCTATGGGTGTTGAAGGCCAAAAGGCCCTTAACGGTTTTAGGGTTAATTCATTTTGTAGAAGGGCAGCCTGTTTATAGATATATACTTCAGGCTTATACAGAGTTCCTCTAAGGTCAAACTACTGACTCCACTCAAGATGCAACCCCAGAACAGTTTCCTAACTCCTGGGTACTCATTTTCTGCTAGGTGAACAGAATCATTAGGCAAAAGGAAACTTGCCCAACCAGGAATCAAACATGGGATTTCTGATTGCGAGTTGAGAATGAAGCAAACTTCACCTTCTTCAGGATTCTTCCATTTGCCTGTATGAGGTGGTGTTGCATTTTCTCTAGAGATTTCTGGCCCTGCTCCATTATCATCCATGTCAGTGCCTCTGCTTAAGTCATTTATGACCTGGATGTTTTCAGTGCATTATCTTAGGGGTAACACCATTGTATCTTATAGAGTAGCTTTGGTGGAGCCTCTTCTCCTGGGTTTTGGTCTTCACATCTTATCTTTGCCATTTTCTTTAGCTAGGATGTCCTTTCTTCCACCTCCATTTTTAATGCTTCCTTCAAATCTGTCTAATCACTGGATACTGCATTGGATTTTCTGTCTTCTCCATGCTTTAGAGTGCCAAGTTCTTTGAGGATTTGATCAAGACCAAATCCTCAAAGAACTTAGCATAATATGTTTCTATTGGCATTGGTTCCTGCCAGCCAGGATTTGTTAGCCTTGGCTGTGGTGTCACTTTTGTGCACCTCTATCTTTATCCCATTATTCCTGGTAAAGAAAAAGATGTCTTCTCTTTGGTGAGGCCCTATTCTTAAGAACATAAGACCATAAGAATAAAGATAACTGCAGAAAACCTATTGGCCCATACTCAGCAGCTCACGAGTGTGGGCCTGGTTTGTGTGTGGAAATCTGTCAAGTGGTATCTCGATCATGTTATATTAGTCCAAGGCTTGCCTGTCTCAGCTTATATCTATATTGGTCAAGATTAGCCATCTGTGGTTATATCACTGGACCAATGACCTGCAGAAGTTTACCACCTTCAAGACCTCCTACTCTGCCATTACACACACAAATATTCTGGACCAAGGTACTGGTACAGGTATTGGTATTGGAATTTGGAGAAGGAACTATAGATTGCCTTCATCATCAGTGTTGGGTGGTGGAACATTTCTCCTCCCAATAGTTTTTTCATAGGCAGAGGGATTGGGTTGTGGATTATTTGCTTTTTGGGGAGGATGGGGGGGTTCTCCCCATTTTTATGTGGCTGTCATGACTTGCCTAAGGGAGGGATCTAGTGCTAGCTCAGAAAAATAAATTAATTTCAAGGCTTTGTTATTTTTAAAATATTAGTAAATTAGAAACTTTAAAGAAAACAATAACTCACTTTACAACATCCTGCCACATTCTAAGTTGCTTGGCAGAAGTATGAAGGAGATCTTTAACAGATTTTTGTTCTTCTCGAAGCAAGCGACCTAGCTTCTCTTGCTCACTAATATTTGCCATAAGGTGTTCCCTGTATGAAGAAAGTATTTCAGCAATCATTAAAAATAATAGTAAATTATTCACTTAACTATAGGTAACAGTAAATTAAACCAAAACCAAGATGTATTAATAGAATTATTGTCACAAAATACCAGCATTGAATGTAATGAAACGCCATTTTCTGGGTGAGCTCCGGAGGCTCCCTGGAGCTTATCGGGCTAATGTATGTTATATTAGACCGGGACATTAGCTAAGGAGTTCAGACCTACCAGGGAACAGTGCCAGAATTTGGCCCCTTCAGAGAGGTTTCAGGGAGCAATGGCACTGGAAAACCCTCTTGTGGTTGGGGTTTTCCTTATTTGCCATCGACCGGGGTTAGGCACCCAGAAGGGTAGGCATAACAAAACAAACCCCACATGGTAAAAAACTAAAACAAAAAAATTAACAGAGAGGTAGAAACTCCCTACAATCACAAGGAAACAAACAAACAAACACGCAAACATCACACATTACTGCCGAATGTCCGCACAGCCCTTCCCCCCCCACGTGAGGGGGAGGGGGGACCCACGGATTTCAGCGCCGGCTGCCTACTATCAGTTCGGAGGCTAAGCTTCAACCAATGCAAAAAAAACGGGAACCGGTGTGAGGGAGGGTTGCCAGGGAGCCTCCAGGGCTCACCCAGAAAATAGCGTTTCATTACATTCAACACTGGTTTTCTGTGGGGAGCCCCTACGGCTCCCTGGAGAGGTGGATCTGGATACCCAAAGAGAAGGAAAAGAAAGGGCTGACCCGGGAGGTGGCCGCCACAAACTCCGCAACACGAAGCCGAGACAACAGGCTGCAACCTGTGACCCAAGGCAACAAGAACGCACAGAAGCAGACACGCACAAAGAACGGGCGACCAGAAACCTATGCGACCCTCAAATCCTTGCGCCCGTAATGAGCCCTAGACGTCACCAACACAGCAGCAAAAGCTGCAAACGTCCGAACAGCACGGGCGCAAGGATAGACTGCAGGCTGGAAGACCTAAAAACTCTGTGGAAGACCTGGGAGATCTGAGCCCTGAAACAGGGAACGAGGGGAACCGCATCAACCCAAAGCACATCCCCAGACACGGTACGCAGGTAACGGCAAAAAAAGTGCAATCAGACAACACAGGACACACCCCCCGCCGAACCAATCAAGCATCAATAACCCAAGGACCCCACCCCGGTAAGCAGCCGTCTCGACCGTCGCCAGAAGGACGGAGAAAGGCTGCAAACGTACAAACCTACCACCAGTACCAAAGAGCAGAAACCTGAACCGAAGGGGCTACCACAGACTGAGGAGAAGATAAGAGGGCACCCTGATCAAGGACCAGGATGGCTCAGGCGACGCATGAGCAGGCCGGAGGTGAAACAAAACATGAGAAAGCATATGGAACGGGGCAGATGTGACGTCCACCCCGAACGCAAGCCGGAGCGGCTCTGCCAGCGCCACACAAAACGAGGCGACAGTAAGAAACATCAAATAACTGTAGTTCTGAAAATCCAAGAAAGGACAAGACAACCTGATGCGAAAGAGAAGACAACCTATGAAGAGCAAGAAAAAGGTGCATAGAAACAGAAAAGGTTGGCAGTCTCCGTGGTGTAGTGGTAAGACACTCGCCTGGCGTTCCGCGAGCGCTATGTCATGGGTTCGTATCCTGGCCGGGGAGGATTTACTGGGCGCAATTCCTTAACTGTAGCCTCTGTTTAACGCAACAGTAAAATGTGTACTTGGATGAAAAAACGATTCTTCGCGGCAGGGGATCGTATTCCAGGGACCATAGGATTAAGGACTTGCCCGAAACGCTACGCGTACTAGTGGCTGTACAAGAATGTAACAACTCTTGTATATATCTCAAAAAAAAAAAAAAAAAAAAAAAAAAAAACACCAGGAACATCATACTGTCACCGAGACAAAGCTCGCAGGTGGGGCACCATCAACAAAGCCACCTGATCACCACAGAGATGGTGATACCCACGTCAAAATACCAGATGCGAAGAGCCGAGGAGAAGGCCGAACCAGTTACGTACAGGACAGGTCTGACCTGCCGAAAGAGGCGGAGCTGCGGGAAAACGCCCCGGGTTCAGACACCTATCAAGCAGTATTTGAAAATAAAGTTGGGCCGGCCACCAAGGGACCACAAGGACTACTCTCTTGGGAATGGGTTCCAAACGAGCCAGAACCCGAAGCAACAGCTGGACCGGGAGAAGAGGAACAGTTACCCCCTCCTCGACCAGTTCTGCCGAAAGGCATCCACCGTGAACGCCTCGCAGGCAGGTAAGGGTGCCAATGGGAATGACGCATGGAATTGGCGACGCCTAGACCAAGCCGACTCAAAGACATCCATGGCCAGGAGTCCATATGTCCGGCAGAGCCAACGAAACGAGTCGGCGACGACTGGCCAATCTGCGAACAGAGGCATGAACTGAGACAGGCTGTCCGCCAGGATGTAGGACACACCCCGGACATGAATCTCACGGTTAGCCAAACCCCGAGAATCCAGCAAACGAGCCACTTGAAGGGACCAACCCCAAAGGCAAACATCTAAGAGAAACCCAGTGGTTCCGGCAAAGAACCACCAGAGAACAGTCCGAATAGAGCTGAATGGTAGAGCACCAAATGACCCAAACCCTCCGAAGTGCAAACCAGACAGCCACGAACTCCCGAACTGTGCTGTAAGGCCAACGGATGGACAGACTCCACCATCCCAGGCCCACCTGGTCAGCACTGGTCACAAAGCCCCAGCCGAGAGATGACTCGTCCGTAAACACATTGAGCAAAGGCTTGGGGAGGTGCCAAGGCGCGGAACACCGAAAATCCCAAAAAGGAAGCTGGTGACGCAGCACCAACACAAGATCCCCGGAGGAACGAACCCAATGATTGCAGGAGGGGCAAAAGGGGAGTCCCTGAAGGAACCAAACAGACACCAAAGCAAAACCCGACCCTGCAGGCAGACCAGCAAGTCGAAGTTCAGATTCCCGCACAACTGCTTGAGCAACCGCCGAGCAACCGGGGACCCCCTCATGAACAGCCGAAGGTGGGAGCACAGCTGCAGCAACACTTCTGGTGCGGCCCAAGAGCCCTAAACAAGACCCAGCCAGGTCCGAACCTGGGACGGAAACAGATGGAACGGCCTCTAGATCACCAGGAAACCAAACCCGGCGATCTGGAAAGAACCACACCCCTGGCGAGCAGACAAGAGGACCAACTGGGAGCCCACACCAGCCAGTCGTCGAGGTAGGCCAGATACCGAATCCCAAGCAGACTCAGACAGAGCACCAAGATCCGGTAAAGATGCGTAAATACACCAAGTGCCAATAACAAACTAGGGAAGACAACAAAAGTGGCAAGCCTAGAGCCCCACCACCAACTGTGCCAGTCCTGGAAAACTGAAGAAGAATGTGCCAAGAACTGACCTGGAGGTCCAGGGCCACCATCCAGACACCCGGCCCCAACAGAAGCCAGACCGTAGACAACAGTCCTCCGATGAGGGCATAGAATCCAGGGCGCAGACTGAAGAAGTCCAGAAGAACCGCAGATTCGCCAGGCCCGTGTCTGCATAGAGCAGACGGGAACCCCAGAAGGATGGGGCGGATCGACCACATCCAACGCACCCACTAAGATGACATGACGAAGCACAGGGAAAGAAGCCCACCCTGCCAGCCCTGAATCTCCAAAGGGGGAGAAGCCGTCCGCCGTCGCCACCAGAGGCTGGAAGACAACTAAAAGCGCCCACTAACTGCGGGACCATGCGAGAGACAACAGAGCAAGCTGCTCCCCCAGCGCCCCGTCAACAGCGAAGGGAACAGAGCCCTTTCCGAAAGAAAAAGTATACATACAATGGGGCCTCGACTTACGATGCTAATTCCTTCCCAGAGACGGATCATAAGTCGAAATATCGTAAGTCGAAATGATTTTTCCCATAAGAAATAAAGGGAATTGAATTAATCCATTCCCCACCCTCCAAAATATTAACATAAATATATTTTATACTGAATACAATGTTTTTTCTAACTACAATACAGTACCTAAGTTTATCTTACCTTTATGGAGGGCTCTTGATGGTGTATGGAAGATGGTGATGAGGGGGAAGGAGGAGAGTTGAGAACACCCAGTGCAACGACCAAGACGGCTCAGGTGGCGCATGAGCAGACCTGAGGTGAAAACAACGCCTGAGAATGCTTGCGGAACGGAGCAGAAGTGACATCCACTCGAAATGCAAGATGCAATGGCTCCGTCAGCGCCGCCCGAAACGAGGCGACAGGATATGGCACAAGATGATGGTCCTGAATCAACCAAGAGAGAAAGGACAAAACAACTCGACCAGAAAACAAAGACAACCTACGAAGAGAAAGTGCTGAAAGGACCGCCAGGAATTTCATACTGCTATCGAGACGAAACTCGCAGGTGGGACACCATCAACTAAGCCACCTGATCACCATACAAGTGGTGATAAACCGCATCAAAATGACCAGACGCAAAAAACAGAGGAGAAGATCGAACCAGCCACGTACCGGAATGGACCGATCTGCTGAAAAAGGCGGAGCCGCGGGAAGACCCTCGGGTTCGGACAGCGAGCAAGAAGCGCCTGAGACCAGGACTGGGCTGGGCCGGCCACCAGAGCCGGCCACTCAAAGAGCCAACAGGACTACTTGTCCCTGGTAAGTGTCCCCAAGGCAGCCAGGACCCAGAGCAATAACCGAACCTGTGGGAAGAGGTACAGGTAACCCCAACTCGACCAGTCCAGCTGAAAGACATCGACCCCGACGGCCTCGCAGTCTGGGAAGGGCGCCACATACACTGGAAGACGCCTTGACTACATTGACGTGAAGAGGTCTACCTCTATGTGACCGTACGTCCGGCAGAGCCAACTGAACAAGTCAGCGTCGACCGTCCATTCCGTGGATAGGGGAATGAACCGAGACAGGCTGTCCGCCAAGACGTCTGACACCCCCTGAACATGAACTGTCAGGAGAGACAAATCCCGAGAACTCAGCAAATGAG